AGGTGCCCTCTCCAAACTAAACACCCCCCCCTCCATCTCCCTCCTGCCTCCCCGGGCGCAAGAAAACGGCGTCTTTACAATGTTGAGATAATTAAAGGGGAGCTTTCACGCCGGCCTCGGCCGACAGTCGGAAGAAAACAAGACATATCTTGGAATCAAAGCTCATTAAAATCATGAGGGTGAAGAGATGCTTCCTCCTCCTTCCCTCCTCCGCCTCCCCCCCTCATCTTTTTCACCCTTAAGGAAGTGCTGCAAACAGCAGAGCGCTAGTCAATGATGGCGCAGATTAGTCCTTTATTGCCTAATTCACCTACAATAGATGACTCACGGGGACGCGATCACCTTGAGCGGCGCGTCTTGACATGTCCCCCATAAGGTGCCAGAGTGATGCTGATTTCTCCACTCAGGCCACCTTGTTCGGTTTTAATAGTGTCAGCAGTGCTTAGCTTAGTAGCTTTCGATTAGCGAGGTGTGTGTGTGTGTTTCTGTGTGTGTGTGTGTGTGTGTGTGTGTGGTTGAGGGGGGTGTTTCACACTGCTCTGCAGAGGTGTAACACCCTGCCTGTAGTGTTGTTGTAAAGCACATTAGGAGTGACTGAGGGTGTTGTTATGGTATCATGATGCCAGTCCAGCACTCAAGGGAAGGTGAGATGTGTGTGTGTGTGTGTGTGTGTGTGTGTGTGTGTGTGTGTGTGGTCGGGATGGTGGCCAGCATGGCTTGTTGTCTTTCTGCTCCTGTAGCCTCATCCTCCAAACTCCCCTCCTTTCTAATTCTATTGACATTTTGACCAACTACCCCGAGTCAGGAGGGCAAGAAGGAACAGCAGACGGGTGATGTGCAGATTTCACAGAAACTCCCAGAAAACAGAGACAAATGTTGATTGTTGACATCAAGTGACACCATTTACCAGAGCAGGACACTGTTCTTCATGTCTAACTTTAAAAATCTGCAAGAAACAAACTGTTTGCATGAACCAGATTCTGTGAATAAATGCATTCGTGAAGCCATCAGTGATTCGGCTGCGACCAACAGTTGTATGACAGGAATTCGTGGATGTTCGGCTTAACTGCAGGCAGTGTTTGCACAGAGCGGAGAGGAGACACATATGGAAACCAATTAAAGATAGAACTATTGTACGTAGAGCCACCGTGTTGTTTTAATTCCTGATGCCACCTGTGGACTCTTGGGAAAATGTTGTACATGTTGATTCAAGGTTTTTTCAATTTGTGTAATACAATCAAACAAATTCCTTTTTTTTTGGGGGGATTCATGGCGTTATAATTGCGATACGGCGCGTACAGTGTGTTGCGTTCCTTCTCCTTCCTGCCATGGTTTCCATTGAGGTGCACGACTTGATATCACAGTGAGTAAACGTGAGACCTCCAAGAAACCGCTCGGGGTCACAGGGTTCAGTTCCCAGTCCTGAGCTGCTTTACTCGTTATGTTTGTACATGTGTGTCGTCTCCGTGTGGAGTGAGGTGTTACCATCCAGGTGTACACACTTTTTTTAATTTTGCTAAACTGTTGGCTCGTCTGCTCGTGTAACGTCTCCCTTCTTGCCCCGGGGCACTTTGCTGTATTGCGCTGTCATCTGATCTCAGCAGTTGTTCTGGTGAGTGCAGTGATATCATGACCAGTGGCTAAAACAAGAGGAAATCAGAGCCGTAATAAACTGGAAATATCCTTTAGCAGCACCGCCCGGCCCCCGAGTAGCCTGACTGCTTCGGTTCACGAGGCATTTATATGAATAAATTAAATCTGTTTACCACTTCCCTGCGCCTTGACAGCTCAGTTGAGAGACTGTGTAAAGCGGAGAGGGTTCGTGATCCATTTGTTCTGCTGTGATGGTGGGATAAAGCTAATCATTGTCTACTCTCTCCCCCCCTCTCTCCTCGTCCGACTGTTTTCATCCTGCAGAGCAGAGGCGCACAACTCGTCTACGATACGTTACCAGACTAGAAAACTCTCTTTGAAGATGCAGAGCTGGAGGAGGGGGGAGAGTTTTGGGTGTCTGAAATAATGTTTAGATTCCAAACTGTGCGATTGTGACAGTTTAAAAAGCAATCCCCCTCTTACTTACTGCGGATAATGTTCTGCTTTAGCGTCTGCGCTCAGCATTGTTTAGCATCACCATCTTCCCGTCCCCGCCGTGGCACAGTTTTGTCATCAAATTAAATCCGCAGCCCTTTTCAAGGTACACTTATGTAACATGATCACGTAATGAGACAAACACGGACCCTGCCTGACGGGAGACAATCCTGCTCTCTGCGGGGTGCCACGTGGAAACAAAGCTTTAAAGTAGTGGTACAGGGGGGAAGAAAAACATTGTTTTACCCTAGAGGTGGGCTGATAGCACGGTGAAAAGCCCATTTGAAGAGGTAGGCCTCATCTGTCACTGGGCAATGGAGGAGGCAGCCATGCAGAAGCCCCCTGATTATAAAGAGATAATTTCATCCAATCCTCCGGTGGTGCTCCATCGCCTTGCCGCCATACTCCACTGCCTTTCATATTTGTTCCCAGCCTGCATCTCCTCACCCGTTTCGTTTTATTACAGCTCCCACTCAATACATATATTTTAGCTCCCCCTTGAATAGGGGAAAGGAAAGCGGGTCTCCCCTCCTTCCCCTCCCGCTCCCCGCCGCCCCATGTGTCTTTTGTTGTGCAGGAATCCACAGCTCTCAACTTGTTGTGTAACGCCTGCCGTGCAATTTGCAGTAAATTAAGCTCAAGTAAGGCACATATCCACGCACACACTCCAGCGCGTCAGCCAGGATTTTCCAGAGCAACTGCCTGAATCAAGGCAAATAAGATCACATAAGGTAGCGGCGCAGAGAAAAATAATAAATGATAACATCTGCAAGATAGAAAAGAGCATGTAAATAGGGGCAGGCTGGTAATTGCATCTGTTGTCGTATCTCCACAGCATCGCGGGTATAATCTTTAAATTCGCTCTTGTTAGTCATCAAAGATATAACAAAGGACTAGTGTTTAATTAGAGCAAGTGAATATCTGGAAATTTAATTACTCCCCGAGACTGTCATGCTATATTTTTCTCTGTAATTATCTCAGGAGGAAAAATAAAATGTAAATATGCGGGCTGAGCAGGGAGGTACCATCAGAAACAGAACCGAGGAGGTGAGTGGCAGCCCAACCTTGCCTCACCCCCCCCCCCCGCTCATTTTAACTCACTGTTGGAGGTAAGAGAGATGACATGGAGCGAGAGAGGAGGGGAAGGGCAGCAGGGAAGAGAGAGAAAAAGAGGCAGCGAGCAGGTCGACTTGCTCATCAATAACCACAAGGTCAGACAGGCAGTGCCGGGCTGAGTGGGCCCTGTTAGGAAGCAGCAGCTGAGGATTTGTAGAGCTTGTAAAGGCTTAAAGCAACACCGCTCCGCCTTCTTTGTGGCACTAGCCAGGCCTTTGAAGGGCCAGGGAGACACCTGCTGGTGGCTGAGGGGCACGGTGCGTCCGGGGCCGCCCCTCGCCAAGGATCAGCTCGCTATCAGCTGGCACAGAGAGGGGACCGGGGCGGGGGGGTATTATAGCAGCAAACACCTGAGGCATGTGTGGTAAAGTCAGTGAACACATGTCATCACTGAAGAGGATTTCCTCCCAGGTTCTGTGCTAGAAGTGTTTTATGCGTCTGATTGACCCGCGGGTCTCTTCAAAACACTTTAAACCTGGATTTCTTATTCAACACAATATATTTAATCAATTTGGTTGAATCTTGATATTATAAGTGCCACATTTAAAAAAATAATAATTTAATAAAACTCCTGAGCGCAGACCTCCCTCAAGTCTCAGATGTGAGAAATGTCAACAAACAAATGCATTCCATCTGCAAAGAGAGCAAAGAGTGGAGGGGGGAGAAAAAAATCCTCGGATGTCTCTTTTTCTTTATGAGCTTTCTAATTTATGGAGAGGAATGCACTAGTGTGCCCTTCTCTCCTCTCAAGTACAGGCATGAGCAGCTCCAATAGGTAGCATAAAAGCTCTTTAGCTGTCTAGTGGAGTAGATTACTGGCCCTGCCGTTAAATCCAGCTAGAGACCCCTAAGTGAGCATTATCAGTATGGTGCAGCATGCTGCCTCCTCTCTCCTGCTCTCCTCTTCTTTTTTTTTTTTTCTCCTCTCTCTCCCCCCCTCCTCTCATCTCATAGGTACTTTGTGCGGTGAAATTTCTCACCGTGTGATGGTAATGGAGAAAGATGGCGTGGGGGTGGGAGGGGCTCCGAGGCGAGCGTGAGAGATGATGCGCCACGGGATGAGATGCCCCTGCAGTGGCAAGAAGGAAGGACAGATTGAGACGGTGTGAGATAAAGGAGGTGGAGCGAGGATGGAGGCTTTACACTCCTTCCATATATGCGCTTATTAACTCGCCACCTTCCAGCGGCGGGTCGCTGTGAGTTATAGCCCACGACCGCCTCTAATATTTATTTGACGCTGAATGCAACGTTAAATCAGACCCCCCCCAAAACACACGCCCGGAGGTGGAATTGATAACCTTTAATGCGCCTTGTAATACTTTTTAACTCGTGATAATGTTACGTCAGATCGAGGCCTCATTGTTTGCGGCGCGTGAAAAATTATTCCCTCCAAAGGTTTTCCATAAGCTGCTGCTCCAAAATCAATAGAGCGCTGTGAGGGGGGTTTGGTGGAGGGAGGAGGAGGAGGAGGAGGAAGAGGGGGTGAAATGTAGAGCATGTCTGGGCCCACAGTACAGATAATTGTTAACCAAAGATTACATAATGGCTAAGTAATGTAAACACAGACCCACATGCCAAGTTAATGTTCTCACAGGCCGGGATGGAAGGGCTTCATACAGGTTTTCTTTTCCCTCCTGACAGACTGTGAGGCTCAGTGTGTGTGTGTGTGTGTGTGTGTGTGTGTGTGTGTCCTTCCACCTCTGTTCATTTTCACCCCAAGGTGCTTTAAACATGGTCAGACATCCTGTCTAAGTCCAGTGTGTCCTTTCTCCAAAGGTGTATGGCAGCGTTCGGGGCAAACGCCAGGGCTTGTTAAGGGTGTCACAGGAGCTGAGAGGAATGTCATCCTTTGGGCTCTCTGAGGTGCTTGTCACCTGCCAAATCAATATCTTCCCCCGCTCAGCTCTCAGCTCTCAGCTCTCAGCTCTCAGCGCACACACACACACACACACATAATGGCAGTATCCTGGTGGTGATGGGATTGGCAGCTCCGCTTTGGAAGAAGTGAGCCCTAACACTTGTCTTGTGTTTCTGTTGCAGAGCTCTCCAGTTTAATGGCTGGCAGGTAGAGGCCAAAGAGGGACAATCAACATGAACTCGATTCCGTCGATGGACAGACACATACAGCAGACCAATGACCGTCTGCAGTGTATCAAACAGGTGAGGCGGGGCTGGAGAAGCAGCTGTCGGATTTATGAGGCGTTAAACGTTCGTATTACGTTACGTGAGGGATGACACGTAAGTCGCAAAAGGCAAATTTACGCCGACTATTACGTGTTATATGTACAGAGGTGGAGCAGAAATCCTTGTAAAATATCAATATTTGATACCAATATTAGTTTAACGAGACAATGAGGTGTGTTTTTACATTAACGGGGAGGTTTTAGTAAAAGTTAACGTCTTTCAGAGCCCACGTTCCCAAATCAACGTTTGATTATTTCTTCTTTTAACTACAGTTTGTACAGAACAAACTCATCTGTGGGCAAATGTACAAACCTTCAGGCTAAAGACCATCTGACCTCAGACAGACACGAGCTAGCCGAGGTATCCAGACACAGCTCACAATGGGCAGACAGCTCACTGCCATATATGTGCATGTGTTGGCTTTCTGGTTATATTTGGCTCTTTGCAGGGAAAAAAAAAAAAGTATGAAAATAACCTCCATAGTTCCCTTTTTTAAAAGTTAGCTCACATTGACAGCGGTGATCAGGAAGCTCCTCGCTCCTCCTGGTCGGCCTCGGTGACCAGTGACTAATCTGCTCGGGCCTATTATCAGGTGACTCAGGTTACTGACTGGGGTCAGAGAGCAGAGCCTCCCCTCCTCCCCCATCATCACCCATCTCTCCTCCCTCCGCCGCCATCGCCATCGCCGCTGACTCCCAGCGAGTCCTTTTGTTCTGCTCTCTCCGCCGTTTACCGCGGGACGAATCTCTGGCAGAATTAGACAGACATCCTTGCGTAACCCGGGGCTACGGGGCGCTCCCTTTGATCTCTTCTTTTAGCTGACGGTCCGTTTTGTTCCTGCGCTCAAGTCCACCACCTCTGGGAGGAAAGCAAAAAAAAGTACATCAGAAGGCCTTTGGGACAACGTATGGGGCTGAAACACAAATGTGGTCGTGGCAAATAGTTGTACCCTTGGCAGGGAGTTCCCAGCTGAGCTATATAAAGAGACAAGGTGAGGCAGATAGAGAGACAGGGCAAGTGTTTGGGGAGCAAACACAGGGAAGCCCCTATGTGCAGAGACGGGCTTTGATGTTCTTAGAGAGAGGTAAACACTCTCTGTCTTCAGTCTGGTTACCTTCTGCACAGCGGGATATTAAATAATTCAATATGCACTCCTCTACTTGTGAGGGAGGTGAAAATGGATTCCATTAATGCGCTGTATCGCTAATAGCTGATGGATCGCTCTCTGAAGGAAGTTCGGGGGGGAGAAAAAAAAAAAGGAATTTGCATGTGTCTAACAACAGTTTAAACAATTCAAATGTTGCGGGGGTTAAATGTATTAACCCCACGAGGCGAAAATTTAAACAACTACATCCCAATGTTAGCGCCCAGGGAAGCAGCACATGGGTAAACATGCCAATTAGAGAGATCCATGGCATACAAGGAGGCCTCCAGTCCATCTAATAAATGGTTAAGCGCCGGGTCATTTCAAACCAACCAGTAAGAGCCAGCACCCTGCTAATAGAGGCAGCTTTGTGCCGCAGACAATCAGGGTTTGGAAGGCCCGCATAATAAATACCATTTATGTCCTGCCAATTAGACTAGCAGTGAGCCCATTCAGCCGACCGTCTATTCTCCTCCCCGCACACAAAGATGATCATCAGGGGAGATCAGAACAATTAACTCACTATCTTCTCCCCCTGCTCCCCATTGTCCAATATCCAAGCTATTAAAATAATTAAGGAAATATTGTAAACCAATCCAGATGTTTGCTTTAATTGAAAGTGTGCACACGCTGAAATTTGGCATCTCGGAAGGCGGCGCGCGGACGCGGAGCGGGGAATATAAATGAAGCCTCCTCCATTGTGTTGTTGTTTTCGGCGAGATGTGACATGTCTGTCTGAATGCTCGCAGCCAGTGCGAGCGGACAGGGGAACAAATTGATTTTGTTGCTCAAATGATAAATTACTGCTGAGCGCGATGATAAAGTGGAGGAAATTGGAATCCGTCAACCTGATTGAATCACGGGGTTGAAAGTTAAATCAGAAAATCATTACCGGGCTGATTTTTAAATTACTGTTTTTGTTTTAAAAAAGGGGATTTTCAAACAGTGACCCGACCAGACGCTCTACAAACACACTGAGTCCTTAGATGTGTGACTTGGTGGGTAAATAAAGTTGGTCAGTTACTGGTGTTTGTTTTGGTTCCAGCTTATACAGTTAATTGTTCCGTTTAACGCTGAGACGGTTAACGGGCTAATTAATTAGTAACACATATTTACTCAACAACAACTCTGATGGAGGGATAATTGTTTTTGTCAAAGAAAAGCTTCAGATGTCTTTTTTTAGTGATGTTCCATCTGTAGGAACCTTAGATGATGTTTATGTGAAGGTGACAGAACTCACCTGGACCTCCTGAGAAGTCAGAAACACTTTCGCTTGTTTAACCTCCAGAAACACACACAAGGATGCTTAAAAAGCGATGCACAAAAGCGGTTATCGGATCTCGCCCCTCAACACATAGTTTCTGGGTGACAGTTTGTTTTTGCTCTCGCATCTCGGAATTGCACCGTTGTGAACACTTTGGGGAAGATGGGTTGCCTGATACTGCTGGTATCTATTTCAGAGACAGTATTTTCCTCTCACGGCGGGGAAGCCGGCTCGCTGTCAGACTCTGCTCCCGGTGATACATGCAGGGCTTTGGCGGAAACTATGAACTGTCCTCTCGCTGCAGGAGCACTTCCTCAGACTCTGAGTGTCAATATTTCAAGATGAACTGGAGGACGAGCCGCTCTGTGCTGCTGCTGCTGCTGTTTGCCGCCGCTCTCACTAGCGCAGCTGTTTTCCTCTGTGTTCTTTCCAGGGTTAATTGTCTCCATTAGCGTGTTTTCGGCGCTCTGGAGCGTCGATGAATGTCGAACACACAACAGCAGCAGCAGACTTAGAAAAGCTGCGGTTGTGAATGGAAAGCCGTGTCACTTTCAGTTTAGCTGCAGATGTGCAGATGGAGTTGTTTCCAGACTACAGAGGATGATTGCATCTGAGGAAAGCTGCGCTCTCAAGACGCCGTCCGTCTTTGTTTCCCCCTCGAACCGGGCCCGAGCTTTTAACCGGAGTGTAAATGTTGGAGGATCACGCTCGCCCGGGGGGAGGAGGAGGAGGCGGAGGAGGAGGAGGAGGACAGGGGGAGTGCGACGGGTCTCTTGGCCACTAGTTTAGGTTTGATTGGTGGGTTTTGGCCAGAGAAAGGGGAACATCTGTGGCGTGGCAGTGCCAAGCTCTCCGTGTGACAGCCACACTGGTGGGACCAATTGTTCTGAGTGCAAAGAACAGTAATCACTTCAAGCCCAAGTGGTGCTGGTGCTGGTGGTGCTGGTGGAGGAGGGGGGGTGTTTTTCCTCCCTTATACATATTCTACCTCCCCCCTCCCTCCCTTTGCCTCCCCCTTGCAGTCCTGGGTGCGCTGATTGCGTGTGTTGTCTCGCTTCCAGACTCATCTAAATTTAGCATCTGTGTGTGTGTGTGTGTGTGTGTGTGTGTGTGTGTGTGTGTGTGTGTGTGTAGAATTTACATGCAGCCCCCCCACCGACAGAGACCCGTCGGACCGCCTCGGACAGCGTGTAAAGTAAACAGGGCCGGTTCCGTCCCCCCTCTGCTCGTCAAACGCCAGCTTTGTAAATTGATATGAAAGCAGCCTTATCAAATCCTGACCTCTGCTGCCCCCTAAAGAGCAAAGTGAGAAAGAAGCAGCGCGCGGCGGCTGCTGACTGTACCGCTGTCACTTCCTCCTCTGCTTCTCGGCCTGACAGTGAAATCAAAGCGCGCAGACGTATTAAGAAGGCAGCCATTCACTTTAAGCTGACAAACCACTCTATTTACCTTTGATGCCGTGGAGTGGGAGTCCATTTGTTCCTGTTTTGTACAAGTGCACTACAAAGGCTTGTGTGCATAATCTCTCCAAAGGCAACAGATTACTGCGGAGTGGAGGTGGTGTGTCTGCTCCTCTATGTATAAAGTGATTTGTATTGAGGTTTGAAAGCTTTTAGAGCAGGAGATGACCAACAGCGAGTCTGACAGAGAGAGGTCTATTTTCCCAGATTTTCCTTCGCTGCTCTACAGCAACACAAACAACAGGGTTAGTGAGTGGGCTGCCGGCTCCGGTCGGGGAGTGAATGCCATAAAGGGGTGCCTGTAGGTCAAGGAGCTTGTTGTCAGATAAAGTCACAGCGCAGCCCAGGGCCGGCTGCTGAAATAAAGGCTTCCTCGTCTATTCATGCGGCCGTGCGGGGAGATTTATTGCACTCGGCGGCAAGAAAGGTGCAGCAGAAAAACCTGGGGGAGAGAGCGGGAGTGTAAGTGGGACACACCTCCTCCGCCCGGAGCGTTCACACTTTAAACCCGATAACATAATTAATCCAAAGTGTGATGAGCAACAATTTTTTAGGTTATTTGATACGAGACATTTCAGTTTTCTTTTCAAGCTCCTCTGTAATTAAAAGTTGGTTGGAGTTTTTCAAAGCAGGTGCAGAACCTTTTAATTAAAGGCAATTAGGAGATTAGGAATGAGCAAATGTATTAAATTAATTATAGGAAAATATTTAAATTCAGTTTTAATACCATAATGACTGAACCAACATGTCATTACAGCGATTTGCAGGCCAGGACTTGTTATGTTAATGTGCTTTTTTTATCCTGTCTCGCTTCACTTTTAAACATAATATCTTTGTTTTCAGTTTTAATTAAGGTTTTTTTTAATTAATCCCATTTTTATTTTTTATTGCTCTGTACAGTTTGCATTAAACATAAAACCAGTCATGTCTCATAATATGGATTCATTACTCACTAATAAATAAATGACTGTTTGTCTCCTTCAGTGTTGCTGCATTCAACATATTCCCTTTTTTCTTTTTCTTTTTTTCTGTCCAGCACTTACAAAATCCAGCAAATTTCCAAACAGCAGCGACCGAGCTGCTGGACTGGTGCGGCGACCCCCGAGCCTTCCAGCGCCCCTTCGAGCAGAGCCTGATGGGATGCCTAACGGTAAGTCACACCAGTCACACCCCGCGGTGTCGCGCTCGGAGGTTCAAGGACGAGGAAAGAGCCGCTAAAAACAAACGCTGCGTCGGCTCTTTGCTCGACTCTCCCCCGAGGGACGCAGGAGAACTAATGGTTAGCCGCCTGCTCTTCACTGAGGTCACTGACAAACGTTTCCCTCTGCAGGAGGCTCCTCAGACCGAGCTCGGGTTTAGACCGGGTCACCTCACGGGGACTTACAGGAAATCAGCTCATTGGATAAAACGAGAAACATCTTCCAAACAACAAAGCAATCATAAGAAAGCCTCTTAATTCCCTCACCTGAACGCCTGGGGGCTTCTGATTGATTGAATAATTAGTATCCGGTGACATCTAGGAAAAAAAAAAAAGGCTGCTGCAACATGTGCGCCGCAAACAAAGACTTTGACCAAAATGGAGAATCTCACTGCATGTTTTTCTTTATGCACAGAGCTGTTTGTCTCCAGTGTTGTACCAAAATATCAAAAGAACTAACTAGATATTTATCTATATGCTGATTAATCCTTTACATCGTCAGCTTTGAGGTACATTTAATGTCCAAGCAGAAGTCTCTTTTACCTCCTATAGAGTCGGAAAAAACAGTATTTGGCTCCTTTGGCGAGGACGACGGCCGTCTGTTTTGATTTCAGCCGTCTTAAAACCAGGAAGTTTCTGGGCGGTCGCATTTTTACTCCCTGTAGCTGCAATATTAGTCATCGCTAGAAGTAGATAGAACTCAAAAATGTGTTGACACGTAAATCAGACAAAAAGAAAATGAGTTATCTTTACAAAAATTTAAAAATTTGCACACGGGTGTTAGCGGCACGAAAAAATTAACAAAACTGTAGCCGGACACTGAGGTATAGATGTTTTACTGCTTACATTTTTAATTATTTCCGTCCTCTGTCTAAACACAGCCTGTAGTTCAGCCCAGTTCAGCCCAAACGTCCCTGAGTTTTTGCCACGTGACTGTTGGTCACAGCTACGTCACTCATGACTCTCCAGTTCTGCCAAAAAGCACCGAATTTTTAGTTTTTTACCGAATCTGGTCGCTGGTGTATTTATGGTGATTTTATTTTAAATGAAACATGTAGAATGAAGTAATTTTTCTTAGATTTGCTTCATCAGCAGGACACCAAATGACAGAAATCTGACTCCTCGTTCAGTTCCTGGATTTCATTAGTTGTGTAATTTTTAAAGCTAGCATCCCGTTCAAACCTGCTGCTGGCTTTGTCGGGTTAACAGGCGTCACAACAGCCACACAAACTTCTCCTAATTCCATCCCTCTGTCCACCTCTTTGCCGGGTGCTTTAAAGAAAGAACACAGAGTTAAAAGAACAGCGGATGGACTGCGGAGGTGTCACTCACCTGTCTCCTTGGGCCATACTGTGCTTTAACATACTGCCTCCAGCGTTAGATAAGAGACACATATAGCTCCTGTTAGGTGCAATTTGTATCCCCGTCGAGCGAGCGGGGCTGCAGCAGGTGAAGAAACCCGAGAGATTTGTGGCTGCGCGCCACAGTGAAGCCGCTGTGACACATCCCTCCATTCAAGTGATTGTTTGTGTTACCGCTTTAATGTGCAGCAGCAGGCGCTTTTTCCTCCATTTCGCCAATTCAATTTGTTTCCTGCCGTGAAAATCTCAAGGCTTTTCCTTTTTAGTTTATGGCTTGTATAGACCTGAGTGTGAGCCACACTGGGAGGGAGCACAGAGAATCTGATGTGATTGTGAAATTACCCGGGCTCACACTGTAATGGTAAACACTTCAGCCGCTCGCCGGCGCCGCCGAGCCTCCGCGGTGGCATTTGGGGATGTCAGACAGGTGGCCGAAATCTCCTACGAGCAGTAAAATCTCATCAGGAGAAGTTCGCAATCTGACTTTAAAGACAGCAACAGAGACGTGATGAAGCAATGAAGCGTTAGAAACAAGGAGTGAGAGCTTAAAACTCCATTATTTATCTGTTAATCTCAGCAGAGGCGTTAATAAGACTTTCTGGGTTTCATTATGCCCACCAGGAGACTCAATTGCCTTTTTTTTTTTTGGGAACGCTGCTAAAAAGGTCAAATCAATTAAGTTTTTATTTCAGAATGAATTATTTTTCCACGATTTTTAAGATAATTAATATTCAAGCAGCGTTTTGCACTAAATTGTTAAACTTGTTTTAAGGTCACCGATCTTCATTTTTTTAATAAGATGTTGGGGCTTCTTTTTTTTTTTCCCGGCGGTGGCAATAAAAACAAGTCTGATTGAGGCAGACTGCACACAAAGGAATATTTGGGTACTTCACATTTCAGCTCAAACATTCAATTAGTCAAGAAAAATCGCGTCTGAACCTCTTTGTGCGCGGCGACCTCCAGGTGAATCCACCACCACCTGTGTAAAGAAGAAGAATTCTCTTCTTAGTTTGTGCAGCTAAATTAATTTTCTGCCGCTAAATTGGGCTTAATTAAAAGCTGGTAGCGCGACACTGGGCTTGTTGTTAACGTTAAGGTCAGACGGTGTTTCTGATTTTTGTGCTTGTCAAGTCTAGAGGTTGTTTTTTTTTCATCACCAACAAAGTAAATTTGGTGTGAAACTACAAAAAAACGTGCACTTTAGTAACAGTTTGCTGCCGATCTGTAGAGCTTTGCACGCTCAGATGCTGCATTTGTTTAATACGGACGATGTAAGACATATGTTTGCCTTATGCTAGCCCATCCACCACAGCTCCGCTCACTCTGTACAATTAAAGTCCTGAAATTAGAACCACTTTTTGTGACTTCTTACACTAAAATTACCATTTAGCAAAATGCTCCTCGCAAGTTTAGATTCTAATTAGGCAGCCTCCGCTCATATTTCTTCTCCTTCTTAATGGGGGATTCCTATATATAAAGGCCAGATATACGTGCTCTGTTCTGGTGTCACGTCCAGACTATACTTACAGGAGATAATGATATGGTGCTGGCAGCAGTGTTTAGCTGCACTACCTCGGGGCTTGTCTTGAAGTTTGAAGTGTGACAGCAGGATCGCGGCTATGAAAAACCAGGCAGGGAGGAGACTCTAGTGGGGCCTGATGGTCCACGCAGGCCTCGGTATGTCCTGAAGGTCTAAACGAGTCGAGCGGCTCTCTTTGAGCCGATTATGGCGACGCTAAATCAAAGCAATGTGCGGGACGCGAGGGTGATTTACATCGCCTCCCGTGGCATGTTGATGCTTCTCTTAATGTTTCCTCTCAGTGGGCATCGCTGCACTGGAGGCCACGTCTTCTCCTCGTCTCGCTGTCCACCGGCTCATATGGAACTGATCAACATGTAGTGGGTTTATCCTTTAAGTCGGACTGGATCTTTGATGCTGCCAGAGTTCGCTCTTGTGTAACAGTCAGAATCTGGGAAAAGGTTGAAACGAAACGCTGAGTCCCTCTTATGAGTTTGACTCTTTGAACCCCAAAACCTGCTCGCGGGTTTGAAAGGCGTGTTGCGTTTTCAAAATCGGCAAAATTACTCCGTGTGTCGGAGACAGAAACTGTAAAAACAGAAATAATCGATGGATTCGGTCTGTGACCCGAACATGTGTTTGGAAAATTAACCAAAACTCAGCTTAAAATCGTGATATTTTGTCCAAATTACTTTATTTTCTGTCTCCTTTTAAAAAAAATCTACGAAAATAATCAGTTTTTAGTGAAACAGATTTAGTAAAAATCTAAAAATTCAACAAAACAACTCTTTCTTCAACCGTGACTCAAAAATTCAAAAACTTTTCAACTGAACTGGGCTGAACTGCAGGCAGTGAAATATGAAAATAAAAATAAAATAAAATATGAAAACCAGTTATAAATGAACAGTAGTGTAATACCTGCAGTATGCAGAGACACATCCAGCACTGGCAGCACCTGTGGGCACTTTACAAGATGTTGTACATGTAGAGTCCAGATTTTGTATTTATTTTTCCCAAGTTTTGCAAAATAAACATCAAGTAAATTCAACTTTTTGTGTGGTTTCCAAAGAGGTGTAGGACTTTATGTTAGAAACTGTTTCAGGGGGTTAACTAACAGCGCAAACCTGTATTTAAAGCTTTATTTATTCCATGTATGCATTAATTTCTCTCTAGATGTGTGATTTCTCTGTTTGCTAGTTAGCAGCTTGTTTACCGTTTTCCTCTCAGTTATTGCAGATAAGTGAGTAAAGGAAGAGGCATGTGTTATTCATGATGGTCTGTCGCTGTGTGTATGTCGAAGCAAATGCTGCTGCAGATGGTGAATTAACAGCATTTTCTATCTGGAAAACAAACACACTTAAAGGACTTTACACACACTCTGTAGTTTTTGCCGCCACTCGTGTTGAGCTGATCGTGGACGTTTTTCAGAGAATAAACTCCTGAGTTGGTACAAACTGACCTTTCCTCTCTGTGAGCCGTGAGGGTGAAATAAGCTCCAGACCGTGGCGTACTAGCGGTTCTGACATTGTCCTGACTCGGTGCCGCCTGCTTTCATTGTGTTCAGGTGGTCAGCCGCGTCGCAGCGCAGCAGGGCTTCGACTTGGACCTGGGCTACCGGCTCCTGGCCGTGTGCGCTGCCAACCGGGACAAGTTCACTCCAAAATCAGCAGGTAAGACCAGAGTTTTCTCAACCGCCGTCTCGGGCCATCTGGCCATGCTGGCCTGCTCGGCCTCAAACTTTATATCTGCTTTCTTGGCAGCGTTTCCCGACACCCACCCGTCGCTGCCACGCTGAAGAAAAACTGTGTTTGAGAGAATTTCAGTGTCTGACATTTAGACTTGAGGATTTATCAGCAAGATTAAACAGCAGTCTAACCGTTTCATCACAAGCAGTAAAATGAACTACCTTTGCTTTTTTTTCCTCTCCGGATCCTGTTGAACATGTCATATCTGCAGAAGCTCTCCTCGTGTCACATCTCGCTACCAAACTTGTTCACAGCGGCTCGATTTGTTTTCTTCTCCGGGGTTTTAGATAAAGCGCGCATAGCAGAATATTCCATTTGTCACACGGGACAAAAACTACAGTATCAGTGGCGATGAGTTGCCGTTCTCCTGCAGCTCCATCATCTGGGCACAGTGATGGATTATTGGTACAGATGTAGGCCGCTAAATGTTGTTATTAAGCCGCGCCGAAGCCCGATGAGAATGAAGACGTATAGGCTGTCAGCGGCTCGGAAGATAACAGAAATATTTTGTTCTCTTTTGCACTTTGTGATTTGTGGTTTCCACCTGTCTTGGGTTATGAGCAAAGCGGAGGGTTGTGCAATTGCTTCTGTGCGCTGAGCCTCCTTAAGTCTACCAGGACGTGAAGTCAGCGCCACATATTGTTTGAATTTTCACTCGTGTTTGCCTTTTTTTTTTTTTTTTCTTTTTATGATTTACGGCGCTCGCGGTTTTATACGCGGTTATACGAGGCTTCAAATCATGCATTGTCACTGTTGTGTCAGCCATGGGTGGGGGAATCGTTCTCTGTCTGCAATTAACTTACACCGCCAAATGTTCTAATTCTACTTAATGCTAAATCAAATCTCAGGGCCTACTTTATGGGCTTACATAAGATTGCCAATTGATTCTCTGTCTGAATAATTTCCTGCAACAGTAGTCATTTGGAAAGCGGGTTGAGTTCTCGAGTCTAGGCAGCATCCCAAAGTACATTTCATGGACAATTATGTACCTGTAAATGCATGAATATTTTGAGAGGAGAGGCCTGTAAAGAGAGAGAGAGAGAGAGTCGATGGAGAGCACTGCGGAGGCATTTTCTCCTGCAAAGCTCCCAGAAGCTTTAGAGTGGAGGCCCCAGTCGAGGAGGTTGTTAAAGTGGAGAGAAAAGCCCTCGCTGGCAGCCGGGGGAGATGGCTCTTAAAGGACACTCCCACGGGGGCCCCCGGGGGCAGGACCCGCTCGCCGACATCCAGCGGGGGCCGTTGCCGAGCGACGGAGGAAAGGGAGCGAGTCACATGGTCGGGGCCGGGATGGCGGCAGCAGGTCAGCCATCCAGCGCCGGAGACAGACGAGTCAGTGTTTGTCGAGGAGACTTTTTTTTTTTTTAGGGAGGACATGGGATCAGTGTTCATTTAGCAAAGAATCTCACTAAATGTTAAAAGTCTTTATTCTCTTGTAACTAAAGTTTTGTCCGTGCAGGTCGAACCCTGAGAGTTTTTAAAGCAGAAAAAGTCTCAGAGGAACATTTCATTCCAGCTGCCGGCCTGCTCAGTCTCATTTCTAATCTGCTCTGAAAAATCTCACCGAAAAAAAGAAAGACACTGGATGCTTACGAGCCGGGCTGTCTGCCTCAGAAGACATTAGGTCAGTGGATGAGCGCTAATAAGTAAATCAGATTTGGCGTCCCATTTTAACCGGGCCTTAACTCGTCCTGGCTCCGGCGCAGAGCGTGGTCGCGGCTATCGCCTTTCTGTTATGTCATCTGAGTTCCTCTCCCCAACATGGTAGAAAATGGAGCCGAGGGGGAGGGCCGGGCTGGTTTCTGCGAGGAGGAAATCGATGTTCACAGCCGGCTTACAGTTGAAATAGGTTGTAGCTTTGACAAATTGATTACTCATGAAATGCCTCCGACAATTTTAAGGCATTAGTTTAGTAAGAAAATAACTCAGAAGGGCAAAAACCTGGGAAGATCCTAAAGATGCGTCCTCACACGTGAGCAGATCTTTTGGAATTTGTAGAGGAATTACAGCAAAGTGAGCAGCTGAGCGGAGCCGGGATGAGAAACTCGGTGTGGTTTAGTGAATTGTGCTACAGTAATAGATGTACTCAGGGGGGCTCTGGTCCTTTTTGGCCTTTTTTTTTTGCGAGCGGCCCACAATGGCGGAGCGGCGCTGGGGGAGGGGCGTCTGTCTGTTAGTAGTGACCTCTTTGTGAATGGGATTAGCCTGCTCTATTAATCTGTGATTACTTGGACTGTCTTACCGCAGGGCAAAGCCATGCACGTGGAGCCGTGGCCACTTCAAAAGCAGGGAGATCACTGGCTCGGTGTGGATGAACTCATCAGGGCCTCCCCCGTCCCACGGCACCGGCCCCGTTAGGCCCGTTTCATCACCCCTCCTGCACGGTGCTTCGCTCTGCGTCGACAAAACGCTTAATCACGATTTTTTTTCCCCTGCAAGAGGGTCAGAGCGGCGCATTCCCGATCGTGTGCGCTTCAGCGGGCTCTTGGAATTCCTTCAGCTCTAAAGAGTGAAAGGAGGCACCAAGTTTATAGGAGGGAGTACCGGCTCAAAGTTTTTCAGCTCCTCGCGCCGTTCTTTTCAGCCGCGTAACAAACGGCTGGTAAACCAGCCATTCAGCAGATAATTAGTTGGGCTTTCGCTTCTTGTCAGGCCCGGTTGTCGCTACACTCGTTCTACACATGCAGGGCTGTTTTCAAGTGTGGTTTGTGGACACTGTGGGCTGCAGATAACGGTGTCAGCGCGATAAAAATATCCAAGCAAATGGACTTTTTGTTGTTCTGCTGCGTCTTGTTTAGTCGGCTCGTCCGTGGGCGTGTTTTTGTTTTTTTCTCAAGGTGGGACATCTAAAGGTGGCTTCTCGGTTTTCATGCCTGATGAAGCAGCAGCCGGCGTGGGAGGAGGGTGGAGGGTTGGTCTGCTGTCGGACATGAGGACCAGGCAGTGAGGGCCACCCGCTCAACATCTACGTAGAACAGTTAGCCAAGTCAAGTCAGCTGCATTACAAAAACAAAAAGAAAAAAAAGACCAAAATTGCAAGTTTGTCTGGAGAGGATTTAGAAAAACTGGTTCTCACTTCCACCACGGCCACAGCTGTGGACAAATATAGCAGGAAGAGACCAGATCACACCATGAAGTCAGTCAGTTTAACCCTCTGGATCCCAAAACTCAGAGGAGGCTTCGGAACAGACGTCATATTTACACAAACATCACCTGAATCGCATCATTTTTTTAAACCAGAAGCTTTAAAAACAAACAGATTTTGCGATGATCTTTGATCTGCTCATGTGTGAAATGATCCACGTCTGAGCCGACAGTATGTTAAAAAGTTGCCCCAAAATCAACCGTTTGCATGAAGTAGATTATGTAGAAAACATCCTGCTCTCCTGAGAAGCCACGAGTTACTTTAACCAACAATCATGTGAGTGGACTGGGTTGAACTGCAGGCAGTGTTTGCACAGAGCAGATACGAGACACATAGATGGAAACACACAAAAATGCAAGTCGTAAAATATCCATATGTATATGTGTGTAAAAAAAATGTCGTGCATGTTCATTACAAGTTTTTTGAATTTTTTATAAATTAAATATTCAAACAAATTCTCCTTTTTTCTGCCATTTTAACTCTATCATCCTGCACTGCAACATTTTTAAACTTATCTACTTACAGCCACGTTTGTTCTGTTTCCACTCAAGTGCAAGACATGAAAAATGAGGCAGACATGAGCGAAAACACCCAGAAACCACCTGAGGTTCAGAGGGTTAAAGTTAAAGTCAGCATGAAGCGTGCTGAGTTCAAGATAGTAGGAAAAAAGTAAAGCTGACTGATTGTCTCCAGTAGATGGAAGGAGGATTATTATCTCATTGCTAGAAAGAATGCTCCTTTCTTCTCTTGAGTTTCTTATGGCGGGAGAATTGCAGAAATTCTTTTCAAAGAAGAAGAAGAAAAGCAGACAGTTAAGATGAGCATGCTGGGGTGTGCGGTGACGCTGGAGTGGTCGGATTCTTTTGTACGCTGGAGTGCAAATATGATGTAAATTCTCCTCTAAACTGTAGTTTGGAGTGCTGATGATACAGCAGCTCTCACCATGCCTCCCAGTGAAGTGGTGCTTAAGACGTGGAGGTCAGAGATGCTGTCAGCGAGCTGCAAGGTCTCTGCTTCCGCACACACTCGGCCTCCAGGGCTGTAATTTCTCCTCCCAGAGCTTTCCACACCAAAATGTTGTTGTGTGTGTTTTTTTTTTCCTTTCCTTCTTCTTCTTCTTCTGTCTGTCTGTCTCTTCAGTCGGTGCGCTTCAACATATAGTTTAGTTGTGGTTTTTCCTAAATAGAGAATAGCTCAGGAGGCTAAAAACACCGCCGGTGACCTTGTTTGACTTTGAACAGCAGCTGGATTAACTCGAGGACTGTGTTTAGGAGATAAACAAGCATCGGTTGATCGAATTTAAATGTAGATTTAAGACAGAATTAGAAGCTTCAGCTGAGAGCGTGATGACGCCATTATTTTGGTCCGGCTCAGTCCAAATAATACTCATCTGAACTCTGTATTTAGTCTGAATATGACCAACAGCTCGTGTGTCATGATCTCTGGAGGTCTGAGCTTCAATTTTCCTCCTTCAATTTTCCCTTCTTTCAAATTTTAAAAACCATTTCTACAGATCACAAAAACAGCATCTTCTGCACATTTTATCTCCTTTTTTTAAACATTTTAATAAAGCTACAGGTTGCTCATTATGTCATATATGACTCGGCCTCATGCATCAGGTATCTACAGTAAATATTTAGTCGTGTTGTGCTTCTTTTTCTGCACTTTTCTACAGAGTTCAGGGGAAACTTGTTGGTCTCTGGTGGAATTAAGAGGTTAAAGGCTTCGTATGTGCACTTAACTCTCAAAAATAGTGTCACAGAAACTATAAATCTAAACACCG